AACATTTGTCAGTCAGTGTAACAGTGTTTGATTCCCACCACAGTAAATGTATCATCTTCGGCATCAGGATCATTGCTGGTCCTCATATCTACGGGGACATCGTGTATGCGTGACAGCATCTTAGCTGCTGCGTTTCTCTTGGCTAGCTTCTTAGATGTACCACTTCCTGGAGAGGAAGAGGAGATTGCATCAGAAACCAAAGGATGTGCTTGATATCTCTTAGGTTTTCATGCTTTAAGAGAGTAAGTCAAGGAAAGTCACAACTTAGTTGACCAGTGTGGAAGGTGTAACAATAGATATATGATTTTGCTCAGTTTTATTAAGCTGTTTTCTATCAATAATATTTCATTAGTGAACACACTTACACACACAAAATTGTGTTTTCATGTCTTTGTGGGGACATCTAATTGACACAATGCTTTTCCTAGCAGCTTACCTTAACCATTAAAATTGAATGCCTAACCCTAACTGTAACCCTGACACTAACACCACATTTTGAGCCTCAAAATTTCCCGCAAACTCGTGGGTCAGGCGTTTTGTCCCCACAAAGATACGTAAACATGGTACACACATACACACGCGCACGCAGGCTGAGAGATTGAAACAAAGCAACGTACCGATTTCTACAAATCTCTCCACTCTGCAGGTCATGGTGAACTCTTTGCGATGTGCTGGACCAGACTCTTGAGTGACTGTGTACTCTGGCAAACGCCATCCTTTCTGCACCACCAGCTCCTGACAGAACAAAGTAAAAAAGAAACCAAAAGTTGGAAAATTTACAAGCCGCAGAAATAATGAGAGCAAAATGAAACCTTGGTAGCTGTCTGCGTTTACCTGCAGAGCCCCTACAGGGTTGCATTCAGACTGCTGTGAAGTGCCTGTGGTCTTCATCTCTGACTGGGCACTGCACAGAGGTTGAGAAAAAAAAAAAAAGGAAACAATGAAACCACAACGCTCTATCTTACTCTTGTTAAGTGTTGAAATGCTCTTCATAACATTCAGGCCAGCCTGCTTATTAGATGTTTAAAGCAGACTAAGCTGGATGGATAAACATTTTTAAATTATTTTATCTGTAATGAGGTTGTTTTATAAGAAAATAAATAAAAATTAAACTGACCCATCTGCATCAGTAGACACATCAACCCCAATAAACCCGTCTACTCCAATACCAACTCCGGCAGGACCTCCGAGGCCTCCCTTTAGCATCTTCAGAGCAGCCTCAGCTGCTTTGTGCTTGGCTGCCTTCTTGCTGGGCCCCTGGCCGGTGCAGCTGATCTCTCCGACGGAGACGCGGAACGTGAAGTTGGGCTGGTGGGCCTGTCCCTCGGCCTTCAGCAGGTCATACACTGGGGTCTTGCCTATCCGCGTTCCATACTCCTGCAGCAGACTGATGGGCGTCTTTCCGGGATTCACAGCCAGCATTTGCTCAATACTACA